GCCCAGGCAGGTCTCGAACCCGCGGGCTCAGGCAATCCACTCACCTCAGCCTCCCAAAGGCGCGGGATTACAGGCTGAGCCACCTAACCCTGCACAAACCACTTTAGAGTAAATTCTTTCAGATCTTCTTCTGCTATGGGACCTTTTTTGTCTTAATAAATCCTACTTTCTCACCTAAAAAAAAAAACAAAAGCCAAACCACTTTAAAGTTCATTGGTGGCTGGGCGCAATGGCTTATGCCTGTAATCCCAGCACTTTGGGAGGCAGAGGTGAGAGGATTGCCTGAGCCCAGGGCTTTGAGACCAGCCTGGGCAACTTGGTGAGACCTCGTCTCTGCAATAAATCAAAAAAGTTAGCCAGGTATGGTGGCACATGCCTGCAATTCTAGATACTTGGAAAGTTGAGGTGAAAGGACTGCCTGAGCCCAGCAGGTCAAGGCTGTGGTGGCCATGAGTGTGTCACACTGCACTCCAACCTGGGCAACAGAGTAAGACTAAAACTAAAAAACAAACAAACAAACCCCAGAAAGCAGCTCACTGGCCTTGGTGGGCCTACTGGACTCTTCTATTTGTCCCTGATTTTCCAGGAGGCCAGCCTGGGCTTGTTACCATGGTGGAGCCTGGGTTCCAAGAGTGAGCTGAAACATTTAGTACCTCTTGGTGCTTTAGTTTAGAACTAACACCCCATCATTTTCTACCTCATTCTACTGGCCAAAGCAAATCTCAAGTCCAGCTCAGATTTGGGAAATGGTGACACAGGCTCCACCTCCTAATGGAAGGAGGTGTAAAGCCTAATTGCAAAGGGATTAAACATTGGGACATTTCTGCAACCACTTATCACTATGTGCATGATGATGATAATGATAACTAGCATTTATGAGCGCCTATTGTATATGTGAATTCCATGATACATGTCTAATTTTCATAACCCTATGAGGTAGAGATTATATGACTGTCACATTACGGATTGTGAAACTATGAATCAGAGAGATTAGGGGCCTTGTCCATGTTCATTCTGCTAGTAAGGGAGCTAAGAGTGGTGGAGAAAAGGCTCTTAACTTGGTAATTTGTCACCAAAGCAGGTTACATTAACCTGAAGATTTGATGGTTGGGACCTAGAGAAAGGCAATGGGTTGACCAAGGGCACACAGAGCATAGGAGGCAGAGCTGGGACTTGAACCAGGATCTCTTGACTCCAAGCCATGTGGTCCTCTCTAATAGTAACAACTTCCACTCTCACCCAAGCCTGGTCCTTCCTGGGGCAGAGGGCCAGGAGGCTGGTTCTGGGGAAGTCCATCCTCGTGCTTGGGGTTGGAGAGGAGCTCAAGAAATCCAGGACCCAGTTCCAGTTCTGTCCTCTTCTCTGGCCAGGCCAAGTGGCAGCGCCTGGCCTCGGAGGGCAGCGCCCGTCTGGAAATGTTTGAGCACATCAGCCTCATGACCTTGGACAATTTGCAGAAATGCGTCTTCAGCTTTGACAACAACTGTCAAGAGTGAGTCTTTGCCCAGCGCCTGGGAACATGGGAGTAGGTGGAGAAGGAAGGCCTGACCAGGGTAGTCAGAAGAGACTTCCTGGATGAGGTGGGTCAGAATTGAACACTGATGCACAGGGAAGGAGAGAGAGAAAGAGCATTTCTTCCAGGCTAGGACAAGCAGAGCATGTGCAAAGGTAGCATGGAGACACCTTGGAAATGAGGGTGGAGGGGGTGGTGTATGTATGTATATATATTTGAGCATGATCGCAGCTCACTGTAACGTTGACCTCAGGGCTCGGATAATCCTTACGTCTCAGCCTCCAGAGTAGCTGGGACTACAGTTCATGTCACTATACCCAGCCGATTTTTAATTTTTTTTCATAGAGATTGGGTCTCAGTTTGATCTCGACCTCCTGGGCTCAAGAAATTCTCCATCTTGAGCTCTCAGAGTGCTAGGATTATAGACATGAGCCAACATGCTCAGGGGCTAAATCTTAAGGACATTGAAAATAGAGGCAAAAAGGTATAAGCTTTATCTAAGCTTCCCAGGGAGCCCTGGAAGGTGTGTGAGCAGATGAGAATCATGGTCAAAGCTGAGCTTGAATATTTGACTTTATAGAAGATTGTCACAGACACAGGATAGAGAGCCCTGAAGAAGAGGAGGTCTGAGTTTGGTAGAAAATGGGGCAGATTGGGGAGAAACCAAGGAAGAAAGGGCAGGACAGATGTTGAGTAGGAGAGAGGGTTCCTGGGGTGTGAAGCAGCTCACAGAGAGTGGGTGACAGAGAGAGAGGTGTGCTTGGAGGGCAACCTTTTTGGGATGGGACATGGTCCTGGGATTCTGGCTGGTAGGTATTCTCAGGGTTTCATGTATTTAAGAAGTTGCTTCCTCTCTGGCTTGGCCCTGCAGGAATCCCAGTGAATACATTGCTGCCATATTAGAGCTCAGTGCCCTCTTGTCAAAACGACACCAGCAGATCTTCCTGTACATGGACTTCCTGTACTACCTCACTCCCGATGGGCGGCGCTTCCGCAGGGCCTGTGACCTTGTGCACGCCTTCACAGATGCTGTCATCCAGGAGCGGCGCCGCACCCTCACTAGCCAGGGTGTGGATGAATTCCTCAAGGCCAAGGCCAAGGCTAAGACTTTGGATTTCATTGATGTGCTCCTGATGAGCAAGGTGGGCATCTCTGGGGTCCAAATTCAAAAGGTTCTGTCAAGTGTCAGGTCAAAGAACTTGAACTTGCTCCAGAGGGCACTGGAGAGCCATGGAAGTTACTTGAGGAAGGGAAGGGACACATCACATAAGTTTTAGAGGTGACTTTGTAGAAAACTGTCTGGGGCTGGGCTTGGTGTCTCACACCTGTAATCCCAGCACTTTGGGAAGTGGAGGAGAGAGGATTGCCTTCGATCAGGGGTTCAAGACCAGCCTGAGCACCATGGCGAGACCTCATCTCTACAATAAATCAATAAATTAGCCGGGTGTGCTGGCGTGTGCCTGTGGTTCCAGCTACTTGGAAGACTGAGATGGAAGGATCGCTTGAGCCCAGCAGGTCGAGGCTGTGGTGGCTGAGAGTGTGCCACTGCACTCCAGCCTGGGTGACAGAGTGAGATTCTGCCCCCCCAAAAAAAAAATTGCCTGGGAGGAACAAACAGAAGACAGGAGATAAGGGAGGTGGTAACCTGCGGGGCAGGTCTGAGATGACAAGAGAGAGATACTGCTTCGATGATGGATCTTCAGGTTAGACTCAGGTGTCCTCAGGACTGATGTGGTTTGGGGGTCTTGTCTCCAGGATGAAAACGGGAAGGAGTTGTCAGATGAGGACATACGAGCAGAGGCTGACACCTTCATGTTTGGGGGTAAGGGTCCCAGTACAGGGAGGACAGGAATCTCTCCATTCAAGGGACATGGTGGGGGGACCCTGGATTATACCATCCTGCCCACCCTTGCCTCTCTGTGGGCCTCAGTGTGTGTGTTCTGTCCATCCTCTGGTTCTGAAGCAGCCCTGAGAGCCAGACTTACATGATGCCCCTTAGGTCATGACACCACGGCGTGTGGCCTCTCCTGGGTCCTGTACAACCTCGCAAGGCACCCAGAATACCAGGAGTGCTGCCGGCAGGAGGTGCGAGAGCTCCTGAGGGATCGCGAGCCTAAAGAGATTGAATGGTGAGTGCAGGGCCTCCAGGCCTTTTCCTGAGCCCTCTCTTTGAGGCTGCTTCCAGGTGGGGATGGGGGGAGATCACTTTGCTGATTCTGCCATTATTGCCTAGTGAGAATAGGAGTCCAGAAGCAGGGCCTGGTATCCAACCTGGCTACAAGGGAGAGGTTTTTGGGGGTATAAAGACCCAGGAGAGTCTCACTTTGTCACCCAGGCTGGAGTGCAGTGGCATGATCACAGCTTACCACAGCCTTGCCCTTCTGGGTTCAGGGAATACTCCTGTCTCAGCCTCCAGAGGAGCTGGGACTACAGACGTGCACCACCATGGCCTGCCAGTATTTTTTTTATTTTGTAGAGGTAAGTTCTTGCTATGTTACCTAGGTTGGTCTTGAGCTCCTGGGTTCAAGCAATCCTCTCACCTTGGCCTCCCAAAGTGCTGGGATGACAGGTGTGAGCCACCATGTCCAGTCTGAGAATTCGTATTTATGCCCCACTAACTCACTATGCAACGTTTGTCAAATCAATGGTCTTTTCTGAACTGTGGAATCTTCACTCTATAGGGCTGCTAGGGGAATTAGTGACAATGTATGTAGCACAGGGGCCCCCAGCACGTACTCAGTGTACACACAGCTCCTCTGTTCCCTTGCTTTCCTGCCTAAAGTTGCATTATGTTCCCAAGACCTTCACTCCCTTTACTCATGCTCTCCCTCTCCTTTCCACCTTACGTGTAGACAATTCCATGGATTCATAAAGATCTTGGTAACAATCCTGCCTCTGTTAGGTAAACACTCCACACTGCCTGTTTTTTTTCCCAACTCGGGGTCCATTCTATATGGGCAGAGCTGGGACCGAAGGAGAAGGAAGCAAGGCTAGGAGTGAAACAAGGAATGTGAAGCCACCACGTTGGGTGTGGGTATCAGACTGTGCTTCTAATGCTGTTGCAGCAGAATATAATGCAAGTTTTGTACATTTCTCATGATTCTAAATAATAGGAACTTTAAGATAACCTACATTTACTTATATATTTGTGTTTATTTCTCTATTCTGTTCCACTTATTTATTTAGTTATTTTTTTATTTATTTTATTTATTTATTTATTTATTTTTTGAGTTGGAGTCTCATTCTGTCACCCAGACTGGAGTGCAGTGGCCGACTTCCAGCCACCTCAGCCTCGACCTGCTGG